GTGTCGACTAAAGGTCACAGGAAATCAGCGGTGATGAAAAGCAGGGCACTGTTGAATTACAATAGGTATGATGTTGTGAGAGGAATATGGAAAGGGGTCATGGTTCCTGGTCTGACGTTCGGCACTGCGGTCTTGTGCATGAAATCAGAAGTTAAAGCAAGATTAGAAATTAAGCAACGTGGAATATGTAGGCTTGCCTTAGGAACCAAATCAAGGTGTACAAGATGATGTGATTTGAGCGTAGGGAAGCTTTGAGAAGCGATTAAGAGAAATTTGTGAAGCGATTGAGAAAATGGGGGAAGAGCGTTGGGCTAGGAAGATATTCAGGTACTTGTACATGTAGAATGTTGCTACAAATTGGAGGAAGCGAACCAGAAAATTGACTGGTAAATACTTAGGAAACATCAGGGGGCCAAACCAAAAATAATTATTGATTAAGAAGAAGATGAAAGAAGCTGAGACCGATACGTGGAGAATGGGCATGATTAAGAAGTCCGCAATAGAGCTTTATCGAACTTTTAAGCAGGAAATTGCCAAGGAAAGAGTCTATGACAATACTCGGTGTTGATGTTTACTGTTTGAGGCCAGGACGGGAGCATTGCGAACCAACACATATCGGGCCAAATATGAAGGGGTAGACACCGTATGCAGTGCGTGTGGAGAGGAAGAGAAAACTGCCGAACACTTTATAATGTTCTGTAAAGGGCTTCAACATATGTTTCAAGATGATGGCACAAAGTTTGTCAAAGCACTGGGGTTTAGGCACAGGGTGGGCCAAATAGACTTTAAGTGGGTAGATTTAACTAGAAGGAGGTTATCTGATTGGTGGCTAAAGTCAAGGCACGAGTGAAAATTGAACCTTTGACGGCAAAGTACGAGTTATCAACCTCACTATTTAAATTAAAAAATAAATCGAGTTTGCTCAAAGTGTTACGGCTTGGTGGCGTTAAACACCGCCCCATCTAAAGAGTACAGCCATGTCAATCCATCCAATCTATTCACTCGTGGCGTTGAGAAGACGACGTACTGCACATGGAACCTTGATGCAAATGGAACCTTCAACATGGCTCGCACTTTTATTCGCGTGTCACACTTTCGAACACTAATCACTTTTTCTCAGCGTGTGCAATATTAAAGAGTTGACTTCACGTCATCCTTTGAAAAATAGCGTTAACATGCATTATCATGCAGTAGGCTGGATACGGTGTATAGCTGCGCGCTAGTAATATCGTTCGAAGCATGTCAGGCATGTTGCCTAATTTAAGCACCTTGTTTATTACTGATCGTTTTGCTTCTGTATTGCTATTTCGCTTTATATATATCACTGAATTATGCATCACTTAAAATGATTAAAGTTATATACAACGCGTATTTACAATGTTATAAAATTGTCTGCTGTTTTAGACCTACTCCTATCCCCTTACTGCTAGTGAAAGCAACGTGTACTCGTTTCGTCACCAGAAAAAAAAGAACAGCTGTTGAAAAGAAAACGCGTTTGTTTGCGAAGCAAATAACTTTGATCTGTGCAATAAAAAGCAAGTCTACTAAACACAGTACTTAGTACACGTGGGTTTCTTTTCTTGCTCCGTTTGGTTGGCCTCGTTTATATATGAATGCAGTGAGCTAAGCAATAAAAGCGTCTAAGTTATCACGTGAACATAACGACATGCTCAAAGAAATTGGCCTGTAACTGTTTTCCTATATTTATACATGTGTGCAACACGCCGTGTGTACGCAAGCCGTTTAAAGGCCATTGACACAAAAGCTTTGGCCTTGCGTTTTTCTGCTGCAATGCGTTGCTGAGGACCTGTTAGTCATGACACGACACATCGGTTGCTGCTGCACGCCACCGGTAACAAATTAGAGGCCTCTCTTTAGCAATCAGTTTCAGTTTTGGTTTGAAAGAGTTCGAAAAACTGGGTGCAACTGTCGCCACCTAGCGTGTGCAGCTCTCAACTACGTCAGCACACAGAACTGTGACGCACTTCCGCACGGTCCGCATGAAGAATTACTTTGGAATAAAAAACTGGACAGCAATGTCGCCAAACACAGCGCGCCCCACGGCAGCACACTCGCAATCAGCCGCCGAAAAATATAGACTTCGTGAATTAACGCGACAAAAAAAAATGGTGGCTTTGACGCCATCATAACTTGTTTTGTTGACCGCAGCGTGGTGATGTGGGGAAGTAGGGTGTCCCCTCGGGGTCCCCTCCGAAGGTGTCTACAGCGCTATGGATTCAGTAGCTCACGTAAATTTCAAGATTAATTTAAAATACTTTCTAAGCTACATTCGCTGTTCATATCTTGCAGGTTATATACGAATGTTCACAAGAATCGTCCCCGCAGGCTATCTCGGCCACGAAAGTTTGTGTCAGTACCCCTTTACAAAAAAGACCCACCTGCATCGTCCAAAGGGGTGGCGGAACTCGAGTAAATGCGTCACAGAGTGGGGGGGGGGGTATCGCGTGAATGTTGCGTAATTGTAAGAAATGCCTAATTGTTATTTCATATTTAGTATTCTTTTTTATTGAATGAAGGAGAAGCGTTGCCTTCAACGAGTGATGGGACGCTGATGTTGGTTTGTGCCGTACTACTGCTTGAAAGTACATTTGTTTCTATCGCATCTACTCGAGTCAAGGAAAGCCTCAAGTCAAGCGAAAGCCAAGTGAAGACGCCTTTGACTGAGTTCTGTATGCGCATTCGAGTGCCTACATACACAGGGTGGCCAGTGAACGGCTGTTGGGGAGGACGCGACAGTTTTTCGGGTGTCGTCCTGGGCTGGCACTAAACGTGAGCATGAACAGGGGGTTGTCGATGGCGCCGCTGACGCCAGATCCGCTACATCGTGTGAAGAAATGTTCCGGAATTAAAAAATGGTCAGCTTGTTCTTAAGTGACTCAATTAGGTGGCACGTACACCCCACCTGACAGGTAAAGGAGACCACTCACTGTGCCCCCGCCGGTACAATAGGGGTATCCTTTATTTGATGCTGAGGCAAGCTACTTTGCATAGTTCCCAGTTGATGCAAAAAATGCTCCGTTGTCACATATTGCGCGCAACTTAGCAACGTGGGCACCACTTATTCTGTGTCAACTCTCGGTAGTATATGAGTTCACGTATCCAAGAGCTCTTTGCATGCCAGTGCTCAGGACAGGTGCTTTTTCTGTCGATGACTTGTATTTTTAGGGCTTTGCGAATAGAAAAGTTTAGAACTAGATCAAATACGAATGAAGTAGCATAATTACAACAAATTCGATATGAATTGCATATTGTTCAAATAGTAGGAGAACAATTTTCAGAACAGTTGCTTCAACATTAATTATTGTGGAATTACAAGTCAGAAACATTTAAAAAGAGAATCGTTACACTTAATTTTCACTTTTAAAGATGTCGTTATTACCATAACTGTAATAAACTCGTATAGGCAGTGACAGCCAATGAAAAATTTTTAGGTGTTCACTGAAATAGTACGGTTAATTTAGTTAACTCATATGGTTGCTTTGTCACAACACTTTCAATAATGTGCCGCATAAAAATCGACGATATTGCCGTCTGGTGTTCTGTGCCAGTGAACAGTGAGCCAGTTCTATGCCAGCGAACGAAGAAGATGAAGACGAGCAAGCCGTGCGAACCCATGCGAATTCATATATAGCACAAGAAGATTACCTTGCTGAGTCAGCGATCAGCTCTCGAATTTTACTAGCCACACTACCACTTATTATTTAGCTGATACACTGCAATGATTCAACTTTCAGGAGAATTTCATATAACGATTCCACCTCGGATATTCAACAAATTTTATTATTTCTCCCACCCCTTTTTTTCTTTTTTCTTTCTGACATCGCGCCAAATTAATTTCACAGTCAAAACACAGTAATCATTTTCCGCTAATCTAGAAAATCTATAGGTATTGACTTGCATTAACCACCAGCTTCTTGGCCAATCCCCCTTAGTGGGTGAGAGCCACAAAAGAAAGGAACAAGCAAGCAAGCAAACCCATGCGCCAGTACTATAAGGCCCATCATCATCATAATCATTAAACGTCGAGCTGAATTTACGGCAGAGTGAAAGACTTCCGCCACACTGTTGTGGCCAGCCACCAATCGGGAGCGTGGAGCAGACTTGCGAGATCCAGTTGACCGGTTTTCCCGTCGTTCTGTTCATCCGCCCATATGACACCGGCACCTTTGGTCTTTTTGACAACGGCTCCGTGGGCGTCCTGTTGGTCCGCGCTGCAGTAGTTCCAGGCCTCCAGGATTACGTAGAGGCTGCGCAGGTAGGGAACTGCATTGGTGGTCAGGTCCTCCCGGTGGCTGCACTTATGACATCTGTCGCGGACCCTGCATCGCCGTTCCCTCGCCTACCAGCTCCAGTACGGCTATCTGCGCTTGCACAGCCTCCAAGCAACCGGCAGCAGAAGCCTCATGCAGGAAGTCGCTGCTCCACTCCAAGTTTCGCCTTTGTTCGTTGTGAAGAGCTTCTGACTTTCCCTTTCCAGCAAGACTTTTGGCTTCTTGAGTCTGCAAAAAGAGAGCAAGACACTCGGAATCCTTCTAAGTGTCTTCACTGCAGCCCTTGAGTACCTCGAGAGTCTTCCTCATTTGCTGCTTTCAGTTCTCTTTCACCATGCTTGTGTGAATGATGGTCTCGTGGTCCCAGATATGCCCATTGATCTTCGCTCGCACTGTATAGATCTCTCTCGCCACGTTGAGGCAGTAGGCCGTCCTACTGTCATCGATGGGCTCCTTCGCCTCGACGCTCGGAGAGAGGACTGGCGAAGCTGGGATGATGCTGCCAGCGTGAGTTTGCTGCACGCGCAGCAGTGCATGTTCCTGGGCTGTCGCGAGGCTCCGTCTGAGCTCGACCACCTGGGCCTCGAGCTCGGACTTCTCGTTTTCGACTTTGTCGAGTTTGCGCTGAAGGCCTTCCACCTTTTACTTGTACTCCTCTATGAGCGAGCTGTACATCAATATGTGTATGTTGACGCTGAGGACGTCTTTCTAAGCATGCAGCTCGATCTTCATGGCCCTCCCGGCGTACTTCAGAGTGTTGTGGGTGTCGGCGTAGCTGAGCATGGACGGCGACATGGCCGCAATCCAAAGGGTGTGACACGTGCCACGCAGAGTCCTTCAGGATGTGGGTCAGCTTGGAATCCCGCTACGGCAACCACTGAGTCCCCCCCCTTGGAGAGGGCATCAATGCAGTTGCCTCGGGCCAGCAGCAACAAGTTGATCTTGGTGCCCTCGTGTATCTGGTCCGTGACCTTTTTGTTCACGGCAGTGGCACGCTCCGAGCCAGCAAGACCTACGAAGTTCATTTTGGAGACGCGAATCCCTTTGCTCTGGCTGCTCACGTTCTCCATCTGCGTGACGTAAACCTGAAAGGTTGCATGGCACCATGACGACTTCGAGTTGGCATCGATGGCGTGCTGTGTCCCGTTTCTGTTGCCTTTCAGAAGCAACTCGAACAGTGCCCCAGACTTCTTCACCTTGTGTATGGAAATGTTGGAGATGACGACCTCGTTGTCGTACGAGGTCGCGTACGACCAGGTAGGCGACCGCCACGTTGCGTGACTGGCCCTCAGAGCGGAGCTTGTCAACGTGCGGGTAGATCTCGCTGGCCGTCAGGGAGACCACTCCGAGACACTCCTCGGTCCATCGTGAACGTCTTGCCGGCACCGGTTGCACTATACGCGAATACGGAGCAATTGCAGCCATCAACAAATGTCGTCAGCATCTCCTTGTTGGTGTGCTGAAAGACGCACTCATTGTCCTTATCTTCATGAAAGACCTGATCAAACATGAATGCCTGATCCTTGCTCACATTTACGAGACCCCCGCATGCCCACTGCCCTTGAAAGTAGGAGGGCTCGGCTTCGGCCTTGCGATAAAACACGAGGCACCTGTCGTCCACAATGCGGACGATGCTGGACGTCTCGGACTCGCGTTCGTTAAGTAGGCGCACCCTCACAGCCACGTTCACGCGCGCCCAGGGCGATGGCGGGTTGTCGCCAGTGCGGCGGCGTTTCGGGGCCGACTGCGCGGTGTCGGCGAAACGCTGCTTGCGGTTCGGCAACGGTGCCATTGTCGACACTTCAGTTGTTGCTACTACAAACTAAGTACGTTTACGATCCTATAGAAGTCGGGCTGCGCTGTCCGCGAAGGAAGTGGCCGACATGGTGCGCTGGTCTGCTGAATGATGGATGCGCCTTATGGCGGCTTTGTCTTGTGCGTTTCTCGTGTTAAATGTACGTGTCTCTAATGTTCAATGTACGCTATGTTGCTGAATCAGCATAAAAAATCTCATGCATGGCAGATTGACATCACTTGGCGACCATTATTTTTAAATAAAAGCACCTTCATTAGTTATCAGTGCAAAATCAATATTTTCTTAAAGGATTGCTCTGTGTGCATGCATTTTGATAATACATTGTTTAAAATAACAAGAGTTGTCTCGTTTGAATATGCATTCTGTGTCAGTGTTTTTTTCACCAGTGCTTAATATTAAAAAATACTTGACATTTTGATTATGTCTGATTCGTTTCACGAGAAATGAATTGAACAGAACAGGATTCCATTACTTATTCGAGCTTTTAGAACCCTACCATCACCCAAAGTTGTAGTCAGGAGTGAAGAAAGAACGTTTAGCTGCCTTTGTCGTTTTCAAAGACATTATCCTTTATCACACCTAAAAATGTATGATTCACATGTAATAAAAACCACCGAACTCCGAAGAAAATGAAATGGGGGGATTGATACCATGCTGTCGAGCACTAGACTTACTTCGGAGTTTTTGCGAAGGCGATGGCTGTTCTATGCAGCGATAGATTGATGGATGGATCGATATGGCTGTACCCTTTAGATCGGGCGGTGGCTAGCTCCACCAAGCCGTAATACTTAATGAACCAAAAACTAGATTTATTTTTTTCCTTAAATAATGAGGTTGAGGATTCGTACTTTGCAGCGAAGGTTTGAATTTTCACGCGTGCCTTGACTTTAGCCACCAATCAGATAACCTCCTTCTAGTTAATTCTACCCGCTTAAAGTCTATTTTGCCCTCACTGCCCCAAAACCCCCATGCTTTGAAAAACTCTGCGCCATCAACCTGAACTACAGGGTGAAGCCCTTTACAGAACATTATCAAGTGTTCGGCAGTTTCTCCTTCCTCTCCTCACGCACTGCATACTGTGTCCACCCCTTCGCATTTGGCCCGATATGTCTTGGTTCGCAGTACTCCCGTCCTGGCCTCAAAGAGTAGAAAACTACCCCGAGTATTATCACATATCCTTTTCTTGGCAATTTCCTGCATAAAAGTTCGATATATCTCAAGTGCGGACTTCTTAATCATGCCTATCCTCCACCTATCGGTCTCAGCTTCCTTCACCTTCTTCTTAACCGGTGATTCTTTTTGGTTTGGCCCCCTGCTGTTTTCCAAGTACTTACCAGTCAATTTTCTGGTTCGCTTCCGCCATTTTGTATCGACATTCTTCACGTACAAATAGCTGAATACCTTCCTAGCCCAACGCTCCTCCCCCATTTCTCTCAATCGCATCTCAAATTTTATCTTGCTCCTAGCTTCCCTGCCCTCAAATGATGTCCATCCCATATCACCTGGTACTCCCTGATTTGGTGTATTCCCGAGAGTTCCTAAGGCAAGCCTACCTATTAAACGTTGCTTAATTTCTAATCTAGCTTGAACTTCTGATCTCATGCACAAGACCGCATTGCTGAACGTCAGACCAGGAACCATGACCCCTTTCCATATTCCTCTCACAACAACATACCTATTGTAATTCCACAGTGCCCTGTTTTTCATTACCGCTGCATTCCTGTTACCTTTAGTCGACACGCATATTTCGTGTTCCCTTAGGTACTCGGCCACATTGCTTATCCGAATGCCTAGATATTTGTATTTATCTGTTATCTCTAGCGTGACTTCCTGTATTCTAAACTCACTATCTTCATTGTCATTAAAAATCATGACTGCTCATTTTTCCTTACTGAATCTGAAATCTAACCTATCTCCCTCATTACCGCAGATTTCCACCAATCTCTGCAAATCTTCCTTGTTGTCGGCCATGAGCAAAATATCATCTGCGTACATCGATGCTGGTAGTGCCTGTTCAATGAGTTTTCCTTGTTTGAAGAAAGAGGGGTTGAAGCCCAGTCCACTTTCCTCTAATTTGGCCTATAATCCTTGTAGGTACATCATGAGCAACAAGGGTGACAGAGGACACGCCAGCCCAAGCCCCCGTTTCACCTCTGTTGGCTTACATACCTGTTTTTCCTACTTTATAACTACCTTGTTACTTTTATAGATCTCCTTTAAAAAATTAGAGACTACATCTTCCACGCCTAGTACTAGCGTCCAGTATTCCCCACAATTCCTTTTGAACCACGCTATCGTACGCTCTCTTGATACCCAAAAATGCTAGCCACAGGGGCCTGTGTTCGTTTTCTGCTATTTCGATGCGTTGCGTCAGTGAGAACAGATTGTCTTCCAACCTCCTGTGTTTCCGAAACCCATTCTGCAGTTCCCCCAGCACCCCCCTCCCCATCTTCTATCGATGTCTGCAGTTTTTCCTTTATAATCTGCATCGCCAGCCTTAGACCACTGATGTCACTGTTATAGGACGGTAGTTGTTTATGTCAGCTTTGTCCCCCTTTCTGTTATAGATCATGCTCATCCTGCTACTAACCTCCCTGTCCTTCCTCATTTATTCCTCCTCCTCCTCCTCATCCTGCTAAGTTTCCATCCATTGGGAACTTCTCCATCGATTATCATTTTGCTCACTGCCTCTCTCAAAGCCTGCTTAGACTTCGGACCTAATGTCTTTATCAGCATAATTGGAATGCCATCTGGGCCTGTTGATGTACTACTAGGAACCCTTTTCTCAGCCCTTTCGCACTCTTGTTGTGAAAATGGAGCCATTGCGTTCATCCTTGTCTATTGTGGTGCATTAAGCACTTCTGTGTTGAAATGTTCATGTCACCCTTGTTCTTATATATTCAATAGCTTCGTACCGTTCTAGCCTAGCACCTTCAGCTGTAGTTATAAACCTTTGCTCTTGGCTCGTCTCATTTCTTAGGGAGTTTAGATGGTTCCAAAGTTTTGCAGCTGCCTTTCTATCTTTTTATATACTTCTTTCCAGCCACTGGGCTTCCCTTCTTTTAATCTTTTCATTGATCAGAAGGGATGAATCCCTTCTACGGCTTAGAAAGAATCCCTTTAACAGCTAGAAAGATATCCCATTTTCTTTCAACATCATTTGTCGGTTCACCCCGCTGCTTAGCATGTCTATGTTCTCTAGAGGCTTCCTGTTGTTTTGCTATGGCTCTCTTAACTTCCTCATCCCACCAACTTTTGGGTTTGTGTCTTCTTTTCCGGGGTGACTTGTCACGCGTCTTAGCAAGCTCTATCTCAAAGAGTCTAATTAGATTCGTGTATGTTCACAATGTTTTATTATCCTCAGTGATTACTTTCTCAATTTGTTTAGTGGCTATTTCGATTTTTCTTTCTGAATAAAAATTTTCCTGTAGTTGCTCATCTTGTCTCCTTCCCACTTTCACTGCTCTTCCAAAACTTAGCTTGATACATTTGTGCTCACTGCCCAGACTTCTGGAGCCACCTTCATCTATGTGCATTCCCCTGAGCTTATCATACATCCTATGTGACATCAGTGCGTAATCTATCGTCGACTGCCGCCTTCCCACCTCCCATGTTATTTGCCCTTCACACTTCTCGGTACTGTTGAAAATGATCAAATTCAGCCTTTCACACATATCCATGATCATTTCGCCTGTTGGGTCGGTATACCCATCTATATCTTCTACGTGTGCATTCATATCTCCTAGTATAATTCTCTTGCACTCTCCTCCTAACTCCTGAATGTTCTTTGATATACGCTCTACCATTGCCTGGTTTTCCTCTCTGGCCTTTGCTCCCGTCCACAAGTACACAAAACCAAGGAGTGTCATTTGCCCTGCCACTTTCCCTTTTAGCCCTAAATGTTCTCGCGCTCCTGCTTGACCCTTTGCCAGTCTGTGCTTTACTTGACCCTTTGCCAGTTGTAGTCTGCTTGACCCTTTGTCAGTCTGCCAGTGCCCCGTGTGCAACAGCGCCTCTAGCGGCATCGGCGTGCAGAGGGACCCTCTCTGGCAAGGGATACCTACGGCGATCCGCAAACTTGAGTTTAGACACCAGGCACTGCGCCGTGCTCCCTACTGGGCTGCAGAAGTTAGGTGCCTTGTTCTTCTTCTAACCAATACCACCACCACCAGTATAGACAGCCAATCAAGGTCATCGGCGAACACAATCTGTCCGCGCCCTCTCCTTGCGTGAAACGGCGAGTGTCAGCACCCAACTTACTCTTACACCAGGGCCATGACCGGGACTTTGCATTCTACAGTGAAAGGAAACGTCACTTGGCGCAACAGCCAGGCAATAGGAACAAGTTTTTTATTTGCACTAGTGTGTGTGTATACCACGGTCAGTAGAAGCACTGGTCGAATTCGTCACTATTCCGAAGAGTTATCATTTCATGAATAATTGGTCACGGTGGCGCTTTTATAAACGCCAACTGATTTTCGGATGCATCTTTTTTTTCTTCGGTTCACGTTTCGAGACAGTTGAAACAATCGGCAAAAAAGTCTTTGTTTATTTATTTTTTATACATACTGCAGGCTTGTAAAAGGGCTATTGCAGGAGTGCGGTTATACTGCAAAAAAAATCGCAAGACAAAAGGTACATAAGAAGTAGCAACAAGCAGCAATAAACACATTCTTAACAATAAAGCAATGTCGCTTTTGTTGCCTAATCATTTTCAATAAGAACAGTAACATAATCATTCAGGGGGACTGATCGATTGTGACCAGGTAAAGAATTCAATAATTCAAATTTCGGGGAAAGAAACTACACTTGAATGTATCTGTGCGTGCGAAAAAGATAGCTAGATGGAGCTTGTTGAAGTTTCGGGTAAAGGAGTGCTGGGAAAACGACAAAAAGGCTGTGTTTGAATTGCGTTATGAATGGTTCATTATGTTGTGCAAACATTTTAATGATTTTTCGTCGCGAAGTGTTGGAAG